GGGGCGATGGGGGCACTGCCGCTCTCTGGGGCTCCCGAGCACCCACGCCGGGCTCCTTGCCCCGGGCTGGCACTAGAGGCTGTGCCGGGGTTGGACGGGACCGTGGCGGGCTGAGGGGTGACACGTACCTGTGCTTCGCGCACTCGGTGTGCCGAGGGCAGTACCTGGCACCAGGAGCGTGCTCTGATCCCTACAGCTCATTCTCCCATTTTTCCGTGTTTTTCTCTGTTTTCTGGCTGTGCCAGCAGACTGTGGCAAAAAGCTGGCAAGACCGGGCTGAGCCACTCGCACCGGGGTGCTGGTGGGGGACTCAGCCCTCGGGAAACGCAGCCTGTGTGTCGGCTGGCTGTGACTGGGAGATAACCCTCAGGGCAGGGGACGGAGCAGCCTCTGCTGTCAGCCTCATCCGGGGGTTTCTCCAAGCCGCAGAGTTTCCTGGAGTATCGGTTTTCTCCAGGCACAGCGTGGAGGATGTCGAAATAACTTTGCTAGGTGTGCAAGCGGTGTGAGCCAGCACGAGAGGCGCTGGTTCTGTCAGGAAGTGGCTGAGAAGGAACTGCACAGGTTACAGCTTGCCAGGTTGGACTCTGCTGCACTCTCCTTCCCGAGCAGCCCTGGGCTGGGTTCACCGGGGTTACTGAGCACCGTAGCTCGGGGAGAGCTTAAAAAAACCCCCTTGGAGCAGTGAGTGCCCTCCAGTACCTCAACACCTAGTGAGATCAAGCTGGGAGCTGATTTTTTTTGGCATCTGCACACCTTAAAACCATTCGAGTAGCGTTGCTAGTGTTGTGCTGTGTCTGGGTGAGGAGCCTGGTGCTCCAGCTTCCACCGACCCAGCAGGGGGCTGGCCTGGCAGCAAAAGCCGCTGGTTCCTGCACCACAATTAAAACATACCGTTGTAATTCATGCGAACGATGCCCTCGCCATCTCTTTGGCTCTGCAAAACCAAAACTTAAGGCAGGCTTGCTCTTTTAATCCTGCCCTGGGGTGAGTAAGGCATCCTTGTGCCCACGGGAAGGAGAGCCCATCAGAGCCATGAATAGGGTCTTAGAAAAGTCTGTGCTTGTCAGGGAAATAAAGGGCAGATAAAGGGGCAATTAGCAATGTTCTGTATTCAGTGGAAACTGGTGCATATAATAGCAGCATTTGAGATGTATAAAGCTCTGTTCCCCCTGCCCGACTCCTTTCTTTCCTTGAGAATTGTTCTTATGAATTGGAAAGGCCATGATATTTGTGAGGAGCTGAAAAAAAAAATGTCCCCCCACCCCGGGCTTGGGGGCAGCTCCCAGCACAAAGAGCTGTGGGAGCCAGGGCTGAGCAGCTGTGGCAGCCCTGGGATGTGACTTTGCCTTCCCTTTGGTTGGCACGTGGAGCCGATTTGACTGCTGTTCTCTCCCTCCCAAATTGCTTTTCAGTTGCCTTCCTGTCAAAGCCTCAAGGCCTCGTTACTCCCAAGAAAAAAGGGAACGGCAATAAAAGAAGAAAAGGCAAAGGCCTGGGGAAGAAGAGAGACCCGTGCCTGCGGAAGTACAAGGATTTCTGTATTCACGGCGAGTGCAAGTACATCCGAGAGCTGGGAGCTCCCTCTTGCATGTGAGTTGCTGGCGTGTGCCTGTGTGGGGAGGGGGGGAGCCTTAGTCATGGTGCTTTCAATTCTCCAGGCTGGGCAGAGGAAAAGCAGAGGTATTTTTAGTGCATGTTCCCAACCCATGCAGGGACAACTCTGACTTGGCCTCTTCCTTGTAGTTCTCGAAAAGTGTCCACCCCTCCCCCAAAACTTGTCATGGCCTTAGAGGCAGGGTTCTGTGCCAGCACAGTGAGCTCTGGCTGAGCTGCCATGCTGGGGACTGCGGAATGGTGTGTGTAGGGCTGGGCTCTGGCAGCTGAGGGCTTCTGCAGGTCTGATGTGGGAAGCCTCATCCTGACCCTGTCACTGTAAATCCCCTGCTCTGAGGTCTCAGGGCTCCTGCATCTGTCAGGGCACATCAGTGGAGCTGGGAGGAGCATCTCTCCCCTGCTGCCAGCAAAAGAGAGTGGAGGCAGCACCTTTGGGGACAGGCTGCCAAAGCCATGCCTGACCTGTCCCTTGACCTGATGAAAGACAGGGCTGTGTACCCCTCCTTGCCCACTCCCCCAGGGGTGCAGAGCAAGCAGGGACTAGATGAGGCAAGTGGAGGAGAAAGGGTTTGCCTGCTGCTGGGGTACCTGGATACAGCACTGCTGCTGCGGGAAACACCCCGGGGTGCAGATTTGATCCCTGCTGACGTGGGTAGGACTTGAGCTGGCAGATATGTAAGAGGCTTTGTTCTTCACTATCAATCCTCTGAGCCACCCAGCCTTGAGCCCCAGGAAGATAATAGCTCCTTGGCTTATGGTGCCCACAAGATCTGCAATCTGCAGGGATCAAGCTCCACAGAGCTCATCTAACTCCCTAGTTTCTCCCTGTTGAAGCTGTCATGAAGTTGGGCCCCCTGCATGGGGGACTCGGGACTGCCAGTGAAGGGACACCTTTGCAGGCTCAGTTTGGGTTGCAACACCCTGGCCTAGGACTGGGACAGCCAGGTGTCTCCTGCCCAGATCCCTGGAGCTGGGAGAGAACCTGGGACACAGGAAAGCAGCAGGAATTTGGGGGCTGGCTGCATCTCTTCAGCACAGTGGTCCATCCCTCGATGGCATCTCTCAGAGCCACCAGAGTTTTTAGTAGCAGTGGCCAACTGCCCCAGTCTCCTCTGATAAAGAGGCCTTGTGTTGACTGGTGTCACTCAGTGGTGGCTGCTCTTGGTGGTTGGCTGTGCCTCTGTCACAGGGTCTCCTGGAGTGTTGCTTCTTGGGGCACAGGGTGAAATGAGGATGCTGTTGGACTGGGTCCTGCACCTTTGCCACGTGTCCAGCCTTGCTGCTGTGCCTGGGAGGTGATGCTGTCGTGTGGCATTGTGAGCCCAGGAGGAGAGCTGGGCTGAGTCCGGCTTGGAGATCAGCCTGAGGGTCAGTGGTGCTGGATATAGAGGGATATATTTATCTGGTTGCATCAGTGCGATGTGGCTCAGGGAGGGCTGGAAGCCTCCCAGCCTGTGTGGAGCGTTATTTCTGTTACATGAGCAACCTCCCAAGTCTCCAGGGATGGGACACCTCTGAGCTGGCAGGGTGTGCAGGGACATCCTGCTCTATGGGAAATGCTGGGCCAGTTTCCTCACTGCTCCCTTCCCACTTCCACAGGTGACCTGTGCAACCTGTCTGCCTGGGGGTGAATGGGAAGAGCACAGACCCCAGTGCCTTCTGCTGGGGGAGAGCTCACCCTTTCTAGGAGTCTTCACTAGGTGCAGGAGAAGCTTAATTTACTAGTACAATAGAGATGATGGTGACATCAGACCTCCCAGCTCGGGGGTGTGGGGACCGAGGGGAACAGGCAGGGTGCTGGATAAGGCTGAGCACTGAGGCATTGCCTTCCTATGGGGTGTGAGGAACACAAAGACCTCCTGTCCTCGCTCACCACTGACCTTTATGAGTTTCCTTCTTGCCCAGATGCCAGCCAGGCTATCATGGAGAACGTTGCCATGGCCTCTTGCTGCCGGTGGAGCACCCTCCCAGCGCCTACGACCACACCACAGCCCTGGCCGTCGTTGCTGTTGTCCTGTCCTCCCTGTGTCTCGTCATCATCGCAGCCCTGCTGATGCTCAGGTGAGTGGGATGGGACTGAGCTCTCAGATCTGTGTCCCTGGGAAGATCATGTGCAACAAGGAGGGTGGCAAGGGCTTTCTCCATGCCCTGAGCATCCCTTTGCTTGGCCTCGCAGGTGTCACAAGAGGGGTGGCTACGATGTAGAAAACGAAGAGAAAATCAAGCTGGGCATCACTGTGAATCACTGAGGATGCCAGGTGCTGGCGAGGTGAGCCCCTAGCTGGGCACGGGGCAGCAGTGGGGCTGGTGGACATCTGGGGCTCTGCTGTTTGTGCTGGCTGGGTCTGCCATGTGGATCCTGTGCCAGAGCTAGGCAGGAGCTGAAGGCAGCCTGAGTCTGGAGAAGCAGCTGGCTGAGAGTCTGGGCTGCCCTGTGGGGTTCCGGTCTTCTTTTTTCCCCTTCCTGCTGAAATCCCTGTTCCTTGGCACCTCTATCATTCCTACATCCTTCTTTCTAACCCCAAGTTCATGCTCTATGGTGGTGTTCCATGCTTTGGGGATGTTTGGTAGTAGGGAAGCTGCTTCTGTTTTGTTTAGTTTTTTTTCCCCCACTCATTCTGCTCCCTCTGTGACCCTCTGAGTCATTTCCCCTCCTTAGATATTGCCTCTATTTATATACATGTGTAAAAAACCCCTTTCCTTTTCATTCCCACTCTGTGTATTACTTGCAGCAAAGCAGTGCCTATCAGTTTGGTATGGGGGGGATCTTGCTGCCAGCCAGTGCCACAGTTCCTCTGGCTGGGCTGGGGCGTGTGCTCTGCCCCAGGGTTGGCTGCAGGGCTGAGGGCTGAAAATCTGTCAAACTTCCTCTGATCTGATCTAAATCCTGACGTTAGATGTGGTCATACATATTACAGCTACTTCTCTTCTTTGGAAAAAAAAAAAGAAAACTCATTGTTCTTTGTGAGGATGAAGTAATGCCTTCTGAGAATTTCTGTCATGTTTGTCGAAGTGTCGGGGGTGGGAATTTTAGCTGTTCATAGCAGCTGAATTTTCAGGAAGGAGACTTGGCACAAAGCGTTCCTCACTGTCCCCCTTAAACCCTGGGGATTATTGGGGTGGATGCGTCCAGGGGAAAAAGTGCTGTGGTCCTTGGAAGGGAAGCACGGTGGAGTACCTTGGCTCCAGCCCCGAGGGGCACGAGGTTTCTCCCGCGGGGCTGGGTGGCTCGGCACCTCTGTCCCCCCACGCAGGGAGCGCTCTGTGGCAGAACATCCCCGGCTCTCGGTGTGAGCTCTCCCGCCTCTCTCTTGCAGGGGCCGGCACTAATGCACTTCTACCTCCTGGAAGAGGCGAGACCGCGGCGCCAGCGGCACGGGGCT